TGCATCGGCGCTCGACTCTCGCGTCTGGGAGCTCGGGCGAGCCGAGCTAATCGGGGCTCGGCTCTCGACTCGCCAACCTACTCCTTGCCTGCGCGGGGCGGGTGGAGCCGACTGGGCCGCCGTCACTGCCCGCAACAGCGGGGCCGATGTTGGGGGAAGGGGATCTTTGCATCGGTTGTTGATTTAGAAGGCTGTGCTCTCTGGGCCGTGGCGATCGACTAGATCCTTCTCCACACAGCTCGGACCCAGAGAGCGCTCGGGACGATCGGTGCTCGATTGGAAGCCCTGAAAGGCGCGGGCGGCCGGGGGGTTAACTCCTTGTGGGAAAAGACGGGAGTTTGAATGGGGGTATCGATCCATGGGGGCCCATTCAAACCGAAAAGTGAATTTGAGGCTTGTCCAGTCTAGATGGAAGAAGCATGTACTCTTTAAACGAGTCACTCTTGCACATGCATAGCTAGGCCTATTTTCATCTGGATTAACCTGTGCGTTTCAGTATGGATAAGACTTAACCAGGAGAAGCAACAAAACCGGACAAGGGGAAAGGGATTGCTAACAATATAAAGGGGAGAATTTGCTTACAGAGTGGTGTTTTAAGGAAGAAAAGGCTCAAAGGGGCAGGAAGAGCTTTCCAAGTAGACGATACAACAAGAAATTAACTATTGGAATAGCAAGGGCAATAAGAGGATGGGGGATTCTTACAATACAAGGAGTCTTCCGCAATCCTCACCAGCGGGGCGAGGGCTGCAGTGCTCATTGTTCTTTTCTTAACTTCCCCCCCCTGCAAAAAATGTCCTCAGTCGCTCACAGCTCAAAACCACCTCTGGTGTTAGCCCCTGACCATAATTTTTCACAGTATGCTATGTTACAAATGTTCTGGTCACAACCATCTCATTCCCATGAACAGACTTCACTTTCCAAACTAACCTAAAGTATTATTGACAGGTTTTTTTTTCAATATCAACATATTGATTCTTTTACATGCTGTGAGCCCAAGTTTGGTATCACAGCTACTCCATGAATGGTAATAGCTGATACGGGCAAAGCAAGACAGACAGCTTTCCTCAAAGGAATGGATATGCAGATACAACAAAAGGAAAAGACCTTTGGTGGAGACTTTGACTCTATACAGTAGCCTGAATAAGGGGCACAAATTCTCTCTGAATGCTGAGATGTGAACAGTCAAGTTGTCACTATTGCGGGGGAAACAGCACATTCCTTAAAGATAAGCCTCCTCCCTTGGGTTTCAACTGAATACCTGAAAGATGACAGCATGAGGTTTCCGCATAAGTCTAGCACTGAACATGGAGACTGAAGTGTGCTGAGATGAGAGCAATGCAGCACATGGGATTCTAGTGTTAACCACAGAATAATTTAAACATTTCTGAATCAACAATTATACCTAGTCTCTCACTGATTATCACCATCCCCTTTCAGTTCCTATCACATGTGATGTCATATCAGTAAATATACCTGGCCTTTGAAAGTAACATAAAAACAGCATAATTTGGAAAAGTTATTCTGCTTCAAGAGGGGCTGAAGGCAAACATGCCACTGGAGACAGTCCTGGATTCAGCCTCACCTGTGACTAGTTCACCTCTCAACTTTAGTGACCTCTCTTGAAAACTGTTGGCTTTGAGCCTCAATCCCATCATCTGTAAAAGGTGAGTAATGTTTACATATGTAAAAAAAAGATGTAATAAATACTTAACAAGGATGTTGCAAGGCTAAAAACGTTAATCTCCATAACAGATCTTTGGCCAAAATGCAAAATAGAAGGGCTAAGCACTTATACATTTTCACCCTTTTAATAACAATGAGTACACTAGCACCTCTCACTGCTTGTCAAGGCCTAGTTTTATTAATTTCACACTGCATTGCTTTGGTGATCATTCTTTGATAGCACTTTTTAAATATTATTTCTTTTTTCCTGATGACAGGGTTACAGTACATAGGACATATGCCTCAGTGAGTCAACATCTCATGACTCTGGGGAACATACCCTGCAAATGTTAAGGTAAATGCTTAGTCACAACTCCGCTAGTTATAAACCAATATCAACCAGTTGATCAGTACATCTTAGATGGCTTGTCTTCCCATAAAAGAGCTAACACAGGGCGTGTCTACATGAGGTGCTTCATGTTCAGAAACTGATTCTACTGTGCATTAGCACGGCAGGCAAAGCCTATGTTAACGCACAGTAGATTTAGTCTAATGCACAGTAGCATCAGAAAAACGTTAATCTGCGCTAATGCACAGTAGCAACAATTATGACGCATTTAGTACCTGTCACAGCAGGTACTAAACTTAATGTAATTACAGTGCATTAATAAACGTGTAGATGTGCCCACAGACACTTCACCATAAATCCAGATTTTAGCATTCTCGTGCTCGGGTTGAAGGCCTCGAATAGCCTCTCCAAGCCTGTAATTAGCAACGTGCAAGACAAAGGGTTTATCTGTATGGCTCCAGGGACACAGCCTGGTAAGAGCATTTGAACATTACAAGACTGAAAAGGATCTCATCTCTGAAAGGCGCTTATCGCTTTGGAGGGAGTAAACCCACTCCTGGCACAGAAGCTGTTATCCATGGGTGTGAAGCAGTTACCTCAGTTGGGGGATGTGATACCACAACTATCAGCGACAGCTTGTTGGGGACACGGGAAAAGGAAAAAGCGAGTCCTTCGAAAGGAATAAGAAGAGCAGAGGTGCCGTTGCACTTCAGTCCTCATCACTTCAACATCCTGCCCCCGGGCACCTGAAGACAAACAGCAGATCATCGTATGGGCTGGCTGGGGGCGTGACATGGCTGTCGCGCACCGGCACACACGTGAATCCTGGCCCCCTGGGGCCCCGGGTCAGGTCAGGGTAACGCGGCGCTGCAGAGCCCAGGACCCTCCTGGAATGGAGACCCCGGGCGGAAAACACCCGGCGCTGGGCCGGGCCGGGGCATCGCGGCGGGATGCCCTGGAAGCCCGCGACAAGGCGCGCTGGGGACGAGCCGGAGCCGAGCAGCTCTGCAGGAGCCGCCGGGCCTGCAGGAGGCAAAGAGGGGA